GTTTGTCTTTTTTTTTTTTTTTTTTTTTTTGGTTTTTTGAGACAGGGTTTCTCTATGGCTTTGGAGCCTGTCCTGGAACTAGCTCTTGTAGACCAGGCTGGCCTCGAACTCACAGAGATCCGCCTGTCTCTGCCTCCCAGTGCTGGGATTAAAGGCGTGCGCCACCACTGCCCGGCCCATTCTTTCTTTCAAGGCTTAGAATGATGGTCCTCATGGAAAAATAAAATTCAACTCGTTGAGCTTATGATCCTCATATTTCTACCGCCCAAGTGGAGGGATCACAAGCACGCAGCACCAGGTAAGATCTGTACTGTACTGGTGATGGATCCCAGGGCAAGCATTCTACCAACTGATTTACATATCCACTTCTTTTATTTATTTATTTATTTATTTATTTATTTATTTATTTATTTATATTTTCCAATACAAGTCCTCACTCTGTAGCAGGCCTGGAACTCACTATTACACCAACCAGCCTGGCCAAAACTCACAATGATCCACCTGCCTATGGCTACTGAGTGTCAGGATTCAAAGTCACTACCAAGTTCCACCCCACCCCCAGTTAAAAATTTTAAACATTTTATGTGTATGGTTATTTTGCCAGTGCAGTATCTGCAGAAGCCAGAAAAGAGTCAGAGATTCCCCTGAACTGCAGTTAGAGACAGCTGTGGGCTGTCATACAGATGCTGGGATTCTCTGGAAGAGCAGCCAGTGCTTTTAACTGCTAAGCCATCTCTCAGGTTCTCCCAAGCCCCACGTTTTATATTCCCGCTTACTCATGTGGAAATAACCTTTCTACAGCAGGAGCTTACACTCACATCTCCTAGTGTAACCTGTATAACCCTGCCCTTTTCTGCTGGTGTTCACTGTCAGTGTTACTGTGCGCTCACCCGCTCCTACTCCATGTATTCGCCCTATTTTCTATAATCCGTATGCATTTCTTATGCTGGACTATAATAATTAGAATTATAACTTTTTTATTTTTATTTTTAAAATATTCATATATTCAGATAGTTGCAGAAGCATCAAGAACTGGTCCCATGCTCCCTTTGCCCAGTTTCTCCTGTGGCAGCATCTCACGTTATTACAGTTCGTCACCAGAATTGACCTTGATTTAGCAAGTATACAGGCATATGCTCATCCATACACATGTAAAGCTCCATCTGATAGGACGTAGGATTCTTCCACCACAGAGACTCCCTCCTGATGTCCTTTGGGTCACACCTTATTCTTTTACCCCAACATCTGGCAACCAAGTCAGTTCTCCATCTTTATAACTTTGTCATCTGGACAGTATTCCGAAGAGAGTAGTAGTCATGTCCCAGAAGGTGAAACTTTTGGGGTTGCCACTTTCTCCTCACCATATTTCGGTTTTGTTTTCTGTGGTGCTGGAGATGGAACCCAGGGCCTCCAGCACGCTAGGCAACTGCTCTGCCACTGAGCAATACTCCAGCCCAGAATCAATTCTTTATTATTATTATTATCTGCTATCCAAACAGACTCTTAAGATGACCTAGCTCAGATCTACAGATTGCCTTTGGTTCAGGACAATCCCCTCCTCTTCTTTTTAAATTTTGAAGTATATGTGTGTATCAGATTATGGATTTGTGCATGAATGCAGTGCCCACATGGGGAATGGAGTGCCCACATGGGCCAGAAGAGGGCTCGGGGTCTCTTAGAACTGAAATTAAATGCAGCTGTGAGCCACCCACTATGGGTGCTCAGAACTGAACTCAGGTCTTCTGGAATAGCAATACAAAATCGTAACCACTAAGCCGTGTCTTCAACTCCTTTGATGTCTTTGCTTGCTGAAGAAATTGTATCATTTGAGGGCACAGAACTTTCAACATTCTAGAATAGGCGGCTTATAAACTTGTAGTGTGCAAATCTCTTTGTGTAAGGATAATACCCCCACCACCACCACCAGTTGCCACAGGGTCTTAGTGTGTACCTCAAGCTGCTTGGAATGCATGTCCCTCCTGCCTGGGCCTTCTGAGTTCTGGGATTACAGGAGTGCTCTATTGCTGAGAGCCAAACTTCTTGACTGCATCATGTACCCCTTGGTCTGACTACTATTGCTGTGAAACCACTAACTCCAAACCTCAGCAGCTCACAACAACCACTTTCTCACTGTCGTGGGTCAGGAACTCAGGACAGGCTTGTCTAGCCAGTTCCCACTGTGGCCCAAGGAGTAGGTGCAGTGTTGTTTTCTGGGCTGGGTTTTCTGATAACTTAACTGGCATGCAAGTGCTGCTGGCAGTGACGGGCTGTGAGGCCTCAAAGGCCAGACCCTAGAATACCTAACGTTCACTCAAGGGTCCAGCCCAGGACTACAAGGCACAGACACCAGGATGTCTAGCGACAGTTATTCTCAGAACCTCAAAGTTGGACAATCATGTGTCACTTTTGCCTGCATGTATGTGTGCCGTATGCATGTGCACCATGTACATGTATGTGTGCATCATGCACATGTATGTGTGCCATGTGCGTGCATGTGTGTGTACCATGTACATGTATGTATGTGTGCCGTGTGCATGTATGTATGTGTACTGTGTGCATATCTGGTGCTCACAGAAGTCAGAAGAAAGCATCAGCTCCCCTCAAATTTGAGTTACAAATGGGTGTTGGGAGCTGAACCCAAGTCACCTTGCAAGAGCAGAAGTGTTCTTAACTGCTGAGCCAATGCTCCTGCCCCAATTTTATTTTGGGACAAAATATCATATAGACCAGGGTGGACTTGAACACTCCATGTTATGACAGATTCCCTTGAACCCAGGCTCCTCCTGCCTCATGTGTTAGATTACATGCACTTGCTAGCACTCCTGCTTGTCTGTAGTGCTAGGGAAGGAAGCCAGGCCTGTGTGCTTTGGGCATGGTAGACACTCTACCAACTGAGCAATATCCTTAGTCCTCCCCTGTGGGCCCCTGGTCTCCCTTATTCCTGGGGTGCATTGGCGGGGACAGTTTGTTATCAGTTAACTAAGCTTCCTGTGTGTTTCTGTGCTATCCCTGCCCCACCTGGTGATTTAGCTGCAGGCAATCTTCTCCATTGTTAATATGGTAATTTCCCACCTCCCTGGGTGGAGAGATCTTTGTGCTGCAGTTAGGTAGAAAAAGGCTTCCCCAAGTCTGAATAAACGGCATTCGCTTGATCTCCTATCGAATGACCCTGGTCTCTGTCTCTTGTGTTCAATCTCCAGGCCCTTGCCCGGACTCGCATTCGGTACAGCTGTGCGCGAACTGTACCGAGGGTGTAACACCAAAATCGGGTGTTACACTCCCCCTTTTTGAAAACAGACTTTCACAATCCTGCCCAGGTCTGGGCTTCCATGATCCTCCTGCCTCGGTCTCCTGAGTAGCTCGCACTACAACCCCATGCCCAACCTGCTGACAGTTTTACAATCATTTCCAAATGGACACGACAGCTCATGCCCGGAACCCCAGGACCTGGGGAGCCGAAGCAAAACGGCCGTGGTGAGTTCAAGGCGTCTCATAGAAAGGAAATCACAACGTTTATGGACGTTTACATCTGACGTCATGTTTTGAGGGTCCCTCCAGGGTCACATGGATGAGGGGCTTGTTCCTTGTGACTGTTGAGCTTGCTCTGTCATCTTTCCTTCATGGCCACCTGCTTTTCCTCCAGAGGTGACGCTGTGTGACAGGTGACACTGGTGGCTTCCTTGTTGGCCAAGCTTGTCTATTCCGATCCCTTAACTCTCTTCCAGCACATCCTAATTTGCAGAGCTGAACCCGTCTTAGGCTGGGGAGGTGACGCCTACCTCAGAAAGACTTCCCTGCCAATAGCAAAGCAAGGTCCAGAGTCTCTCTTAAGAGTCGTGTAATCTTGTGTGCTTATGGTACCTGCAGCACTGTGAAGGAAGCCATTCTTTTTTTTTTTTTCGACAGACAGAATTTAATATATGCACACGGTTGCATATATAATGCAGCATCACACCATGTAGGGCATTGACTTGGTTTATACATTCAGATCGTTTGAAACACTTCTTAAGGCTACGAAACAGAACATAGAAAAATAAACAGCAATATATTCAACACTTACAAAAGTGGTATGATAAAGAATATAAAGTACTATTCCTTTCAACACTTCAAAAGATATGTATAGATATGTATATATGCTTTTACAAGTAACATCACAAATGATCACATCTTCACATGCTTATAAGTATTATTGTACTCAGTGTAAGGCTAGGATCATTTTTCCATACATAAATTTTTTTCTAACTTTGTAACAATGCAATTTTTAAACCATTCAAGTAAATTCAACCCCAAAGCTGCTGCTTCTCAGCATTAAGACATGCACCCACCCTCTTACAGGATTTTTCTAAAACTTGTAATTTTAGGGAAAGTGGAAACTTTAAAAGAAAAAAAAAACAATTAGTGGGAAAGCCAATGGCTAAGTAGGAAAATCTTAGCTCTTTCAAACTGACATTCTTGACACCGAAGATGGAACACTGGAACATGAAGGGTCCTTGACGCCAAAGCCATGCTGATGAGTAAGCATGGTGGATGCCTGGCAGGACATCGAGCCATTCGGTGATAAAATCTTGTTTAGTTGGCTTTTCTGTACTTAGCTAAAAGCACCGTGGGGAGCAAGCATCTCTTAAACCTCCTAGGTGTGCAGCCTTTGCTGTAACCCTTCTATGAAGGGTTCCTAAGTTTCAAGGCCAGACTTCTTTCAGTCCCAGCACCTGAATTCCAAACTGCCTCCAGCTGGGTAGCATTCAAAGGTCCCGTGGTGCCTCTGTTCGAACCACCAAGCACTGTTCCTGCCCGTGCCAGTCCGGTCCTCTCTCACGAGACTCTTGACCCAGCCCATCTTCCCCTGCATCTCATCAGAGCATAGGTTCTACACTTTCTACCTCCAATCTTTCTGAATATCTATGGCCACTGCTTCTTCTCTGGTTCCCAGCAAGGAGTAGGTCCCCCTGGTGTTCTGTTTTTCATCCTGGCCTTCATTCTGGAAGCAAAAAGATCTTCCTAGAGCATACAGTTCCTAATACCTTCCTTGCCTTAAACACTTAACAGATCTACCTCCAACAATCTGTATTTAGGCTTTGTCCTGCTTTTGTGGTCTCATTGCCACCAATTCCACACTGAAAGTGTGGTCACATTGTTCAGCTATAAAACGAATAAAAACGCCAAAAACGTTTGCTACATGGTAAAGTGAAACTGACAGCAAACTCACTTTCTGGTATCTGACAAATGCTATGCTTGGGTCTGTATGAAAAGAAACACTTTTGTCCCAGCTATGATCCTTTTGTCCTCATAAGCCCTCCCACCTTTGTGCCAGGCTGAGGGAGACCAAGCCCTCCTCACAAGTCACACTCCAGCCTGGGCAATTACCCAATGTTCTGCTCCAAGCTGTAACATGTTGAAGGGATCACAGTGGAACCAGAGGTCATCCAACCCTCCTGGGGGACATTATATGGATCATTCAAAAAATTTCTTCTTAAATTTTCTTTTTCCTTCTGAAACGGTCTCTGTATACATTGGATGCCCTTGAAATCCCTGTCCTTGCCTAGAACGGACTCAAGCTAACAAGCTTAGCTGTGCTCTTGTTTAACTGACTGCAACAAGAATCCTGTATTATTAGAGTCTTAGAAATGGGCCCCATCCCAGATGCCTTGCCGTGGCAGGTTTCCTCGGGTGTCCTACCTTCAGAGGAAGAGGAAGGCCTTGAGTGCTTGGACGTCCCTGCCGCGAACAGCACGCTGTCGGCAGGTTGATTCAAGGCTTCCTTGTCAAGCTGCCTGGACTCCTTTCCCATTACTTTCTCCTTAGATTTTGCAACAAAATTGGTAGGGACCGTCTTTTCCTCCTCAACTGAAACACATGGATAATCAGTTAGACCTACAACCCAAGGATGCCTGCTCGGAGGGCGGGCCTGGTCACCGGGCGGCGCCCTTTACCTGACTTCTCTCTGGGTTTGCTTTTGGACTGGCCCATAGGTGAACCCGCCGCCCCGGCCAGGGGGCCTTGAGGCCCAGTAACCCTAGCGACTCACAAACCAACACGCCCCTTTGGGCGTTCATTACCATGGCAACCGCGTGCCCTAGGAGACGTGCCAAAGCCCCACCCAAGGACCGGTGCCGTCTTCTCGCGAGAGCCGGCCGCGCGACCGGAAACGCAAGCGACCCCGGAAGTCCTCCCGGGCACAGCTGGTCCGTAAGATCTCGTCCCCTTCGCCACCCAGAGGGCTTCACTACCTGACTGGCCATGGACGGTAAGGGGCCGTCACCTACTTTGGGTTCGGAGCGGGATTCTGCGGACACCCCGGCCTCAGCCCCATAACCCAAGAGGACCTGTCCCCGGCCTCAGCCCCAGTCCCCGCCCCTGGGCCTGGGACCCATTCGTCTCGACCCTACATCGCGATCAGGACCCGCCTCTTGCCTTAGGTCCAAACACCGATTAGACCTGGGCCTGACTCCGGCATATCGACCAGAACCGGTTTCGGTTCCTGAGCCTTTACATCCTAGCTGAAACCCTCTCCTGGGCTTCCATCCCTCAGACCAACGGGAGCTACCTCGGGTTCTTGACACCAGACCCCAGCCAGGAACTACCCCTGGATCTCCTTCCTTACCCAGATCTCTCCAGGCCTGGACCCCAAACCCAGGACCGAAACCCCGAATTTTATCCAAATGACCTCAGATCCAGGCCCTTCTAACCATCTTCCCTGTTTGTTTTGTTTCTGCCTTGGGGACCCTGGAATGTTCAGGGACCAGAAAAGGTGCTGGTTGCATATTTTGACCCCTGAGTAGTCCCCAGAGGAATAGGAATAATTCAGATACAAAGGACTTCAAGTACCAAGCGGTAGATGTGGGTTCCGTCCTAGTAGCTCCATTTTATAGGCGCTGCATGGCCTATTCTCCCCTTACCCTGTGACAGGGTGGGTGGGAGCCACCCCGTGGGTGGGAGCCACCCCTAGAAGAATGACTCACTTCCATCTGTCAGTGTTCTGACCTCTAGACTTCCGAAGAACTCCTGAGTGGACGTTGCAGGTTTTATGGGCTGGTGTGATAGAGTTTGTGTTTGTATGAGACGGGGTCTCCCTATGTCGCCTTGGCTGGCCTGCATGTGACTGCAAGTACCAGACTGGCCTTGAACTCAGAGATTTGCCTGTCTCTGCCTCCCCAGTGCTGGCAATGAAGTTGTGAACAGCCATAATGAAGTTTTTACAAACTGTTTTCTGAAATGCAGAAAGCTGTGTGATTGTCATGGAGAAAACACATAAGAATTCTTTACTGTGTTTCTTGGACAGAAGAGGTAGCGCCCCATGTCTCAGAAAAAAAGAATTTTGGCATCACAGTTCACTGTGCTCCTGTGAGGGAACTTTCCTGAAGTTCCTCACATCAGGTTTCTCCTGCCCCACTAGAGTCGAGATGAAAATACAGGTTGAGATGGGAGAGATTTGGCCAGGGTGCTAAAGCTAGTGAGAGAGCTGTGCCACGCCTGGGAGACACTGTTTCTCCTGTCACTGTGCCAGGCCACTTTTGTTTCCGAGAGTACCAGTCAGTTGTGGCAGCCCTGGCCATAGCTAGTCCTGCACTGAGTGGTAGGTGGGTAGGTGCACAGTTCACTATGCCCAGGCAGGTCTCTGCTGGGCCTTGTTTTGCATTTACATCAGTGCCTTATTTTGGACCGGTAGGGTAAGCGGTTTCAGGAATCAAATGCCACAGCATTCTGCAGAGTGGCTCACAACTGCAGTGCCAGCTCTTAGGCGCTGGAGACAGATCCCAGTTTTGACTGCCTAGGGAGTTTGAGGTGAAATCCTGTCTCAAAACATCAAAAATAAATAAACAAGAAATTGTGTTTACCTGTCTCAAGTTTGTGAATTAATAGCAGGTTTGGTTAGCAATTAGTTTTTAAAAATACATTTAAATTCCCTCCTTGGCTTACTATGGGTAAAGGGACAATGGGCTGGGCCTGATGCTGTGGCTTAGAAATGACATCTGTCATGATGACCTAAGGCTTACCGCCTTACCAGTTTCATCTCCAACTGCTGTGGACTGGAGAAATGGTTCGGTCCTAAGAGCACTGGCTGCTCTTGCAGAGGTCCAGAGTTCAATTGCTAGCAACGTATGGTGGCTCACAACCATCTATAGTGGCATCTGATGCCCTCTTCTGGCAGAAAGTTGTACATGCAGATAGAGCACTCAAAAAAAAAAGTAGATACATCTTTTTTTAAAAATGCCAATAAAGGCATTAAAAAGAACAGCTATTAAGTGCTAAAGACTAAGTTTAGTAGTAAAGGCAAAGAATCCCATGTGTCTTTTGTAAAGCTGAAAGAAATGTAAGCCACCATCTCCATTCTGATCATGGCCAAGAGCTGCATTTTGAGATAGGCTGGTACATTCTTGTGTTCCTGAAAACAAGTTTAGTGAGAGTCTTTGTTGGTTTGGAGCCCCTGTCTAACATGGATCCACTTTTTGACTCCATTTCTGGGCCTTCCAAATGCCCCAGGCAAATCCCATCCGTGTCTGTCTCCTGTGGGCCAGCTCCTAGCATCTGCAAGGATCTCACTGAGTCTGCTTGCTTGATAGATGTGCTACTTGCTACAGTTTTTTTTTAATGTATTTTTTTTTTATCTTTGCAGATACCCTGTTCCAGTTGAAGGTTTGTACAAGACCACCATTCTTCAGCCCTGTCCTAGCAAACAAGGAAAGAATTACAGCGGCACTTGGAACCCAGACACCCAGAGTCATGGGCAGATTATCATGGTTGAACGACTGCCCTACAGGGCTCAGACTGCTGCCCAGAGCCAAGATCATTCTTTGATTTTGGCTAAGTAGAAATAGATCACTTAGACTTGTCCATGAAGACTGAGTGTGTTATCTGTAAGAAACACACACAACTGGGGTGATACGCACATGCCTTGGTGTTTTACTAAGCTTTTAAAACCACATGCTGAAATTTTTTTTTTTTTTTTTGGTTTTTCGAGACAGGGTTTCTCTGTGGCTTTGGAGCCCGTCCTGGGGCACTAGCTTTGTAGACCAGGCTGGTCTCGAACTCACAGAGATCCGCCTGCCTCTGCCTCCCTAGTGCTGGGATTAAAGGTGTGCGCCACCATCGCCCGCCCGGCCACACGCTGAAATTTAAACACACTTGGAGAGTGTTATAGGCGACTGAATGTACCTCCAGCTGGGGAGATACTTGGACTTAATTAATAATCCATGGCATGTTTCTGCCACTTTTAAATGCCTTACAAACGATGCTAAGGGTTAACTTTATCTTGTTTTTTTTCTCCCTGGCGCCAAGGGTCTGTGCACGAGTAAGGTTACAGAGTTTGTGTCACTCTGAGGCTGTCGGGTAGTCGTCTGATGCCGTAAAGGGGGTCAGTGTTCGCGCCTCTTTTACTAGTGGCCAGGACCTGGTCTCTAGCCCTTGGAATATGTAGCCAGAGGGGTGGGTATGATATCATTTTCTCTGTTGGCAAAGAAATGAGGAAGCTGTATATGCCAAATTCTCTAAAGATAGCGTTCAAGATTTACTACTTGGATAGCCTGGAGAAGGTTCCCAGGTGACTTTCTGTGAGTTCAAAGTCTTTCATAAGCAGGGGCAGCATTGGTGGTGAGAGTTTCCTTGCCGGCTTTCCACTCTAGAGGAGAATATAGGTTGGGGTTTTCTTAGATGATGGACATTTTAGGATGCCCACTGTAGCTGCCTCCTTGCTCACTGGCGGGGGTCTTTCCACAGCCCACAGGAGTTGTCAGGACTCAGGTTTTGATGCTTTGTGCCTCATCCCTGGGTAAAGGATGCACAGAGGCAGGAGGTACAGGGAGCAGGGCCTAGAGGGTGAGCTCCACCTGCGAATCTCAGGATGTCGTCCTTTCCACTCAGTTCACAGCGAAGCAGCTAGAGAAACTGGCCAAAAAGGCAGAGAAGGACTCCAAGGCTGAGCAGGCCAAGGTGAAGAAGGTGTGTAACCTTTCTGGTTTGGGTTCTTCTTCCCCAATCCCCTTTATTTTATTTTACTTCATTCATGTTATTTTTGAGATTGATTACTGTGACCCAGGTTGATCTGAACTTACTCTGTGTTCCAGTTAACATCAAACTTGAAATGTTGCTACTTCACCCTTAAGATTGGTAGGATTTCAGGCGGGAACCACCACAGCCAGCTTTGTTTCCCTTTGTGTTGCTATAATGTCTCCTTTTTGTGCAACACTCCCCAGTGGTAAACCTTACCCTGGAGGGATACACAAGCTTACTTGCGAATTGTCCTCCGTGAACATTTCCCTATGAATCTTAGGCCCTTCAGCAGAAAAACGTGGAGTGTGCCCGCGTGTATGCTGAAAATGCAATCCGCAAGAAGAATGAAGGTGTAAACTGGCTCCGCATGGCATCCCGTGTGGATGCAGTAGCATCCAAGGTACAGACAGCTGTGACCATGAAGGGGGTAAGTGCCTGACCATGGTGCCATGTGGCCAGCATGTGTTGTAGGGTACAGTGAGCAGAGGGAAGCTGAACCAGCAGTGAGCCTAGGCTTCAAGGAGTACTGCACACAGGAAGGCCTCAGGAAAGCCTGGATTTCATAGCATCCTACCATAGACTTGGAGTTACATGGGCCGCTTGGTCACAGCAGAGATGCCCTGCAAAGTAGAGAGACTCATAGAACTCCACTGTGTCATCAGCTGCACCCTGGGTTCCCATCAGAAAGTCCTGATGACCTGCCCCCAGTTTGCAGCCCTAAACTATCTTTAACTTTGTCCTTGTCCCTAATTCTCTTCTATACCAGGTGACCAAGAATATGGCACAGGTGACCAAAGCTCTGGACAAGGCGCTGAGTGCCATGGATCTTCAAAAGGTGTCTGCAGTGATGGACAGGTTTGAGCAGCAGGTGCAGAACCTGGATGTGCACACGTCGGTAGGTGGCCATTGCAGTATGGCTGGACAGTGGGTCAGGGTGGCTGAACTGTGCTGGACTCAGGAAGGCCTTGGAGAAGGAAGGGGATGGGACACTGCCCTTTCTGGGGAGGCACACATGGTATAGACAAGCACACAGGAATATGGAAGTGTCACAGAACCAGGTGAACCCAGGGGCGGGACTGCCTGGATATGGGACAGGAAGGTCCAAGGGAGCCAGAAACATCTTCCTAGAGAGAACCCTGTGAGAAGCAGTGGGAGTGGGCAAGAACCACAGTGGAGGTTAGGGAGATGGCCCAGCAGGTGAAGTGTCACTTGTGCAAGCCTGAGGGCATAAGTTTGTGCTCTTGGCAACCACATGAAAGCTGGGTGTGTAGGGGTCTTAGTGCTGGGGCCAAATACAAATGAAATCCTCGGCTTTGCCACCCAACCAACATGGCTGAAACAGTGAACACTAGGTTCCTTGAGACACCTTGTAGGACACAGTATCGAGAAGACAGTTGATGTTAGCCTCTGGCCTTCACACGAACACATACACGTGTGCATGTGTACGCCACACATTCCACAACAAAGCAGTTGAGTGTGCATCATGGTGCTATGGCCGTCCTGCCCAAAATGAACCTCTCCACAGGTAATGGAGGATTCTATGAGCTCTGCCACCACGCTGACCACACCTCAGGAGCAGGTCGACAGCCTCATTGTGCAGATTGCTGAGGAAAATGGCCTAGAGGTCTTAGACCAGCTCAGCCAGCTTCCAGAGGGCGCCTCTGCTGTGGGCGAGAGCTCAGTGCGCAGCCAGGAGGACCAGCTGTCTCGAAGGTAGGACCTGTCTCGGTGAATGTCATAGTACTTGCTCTGGTGTCCTGTCTTGGGGCCATGTTGGGGACCCCAAGGACTTTGTGGGTTGGAACCCAATCACACAAAGACCCATCACATTTGATAGGACTGTTGGGAAGGTGGAGGGAAGACCCCTGTCTCAGCTTGAACATCAGAATGCTGCAGTCAGTCCCCTATAGCCAGCAGTTAGTACCAGATGTGTGATTACAGATGTATCTCCACACAGCTCACTGTAGAAGGGAGTTGTGTGCCCTTCCTGAGATTGTCACAGTGTGTAGCTGTCTCAGCATCTTTCTACATGTTAGCCCAGGACAACTTTGAAAACCTCAATTCTGGGTTCATGTCTAGTGCTCTGCACAGTATTTCAATTTCAAGTTTTCAAGTACCTCTGCCCTTTGCTGTCCCCCCCCCTTTTTTTTTTTTTTATTAGACAGGGTTTTTCTGTGTAGCTCTGTCTGTCCTGAAACTCTGTGGACCAGGTTGGTCTTGAAACTCACAGAGATCCACCTGCATCTGCCTCCCAAATGCGGGGATTAAAGGTGTGTGCAATCACTGCCTGCCATGCCTTTGCCTTTCTTACCAGAATCCCTTTTGTTGTTTTCCAGGTTGGCCGCCCTGAGGAATTAGCGTGCCCTCGGCAGGTGTTGCCTCCCTTCTATGATGCACTGGAGGCTTCTGCCCCGCTCTGCACTCGACTTTCTCCAACCCTTCATAGCTGCCTTGGCTCTTTTCCAACCTGCCAGGCTGGGCGCCTTAGAACTGAGCCTTAGGTTGGGCAGTGGGCCTCTGTCCTGATACCGAATTTGCACAAGTGTGTGGGTGACTCATATGACTTTGTGGACCACATCTGGAAGATGGCAAGCTCTGTGTTGTCCTCTGCCTATGTGGAGTTGACAGGGTTTGACCAGCAGATGTGTGGACTTCAGCCCAGTGCTTCAGGGCCTTCAGTTTCCAGTGAACACACACCTGCTGCTTGCTGTGGCCAGTGAAGATCAGAGCCAGTCCTTTGCCAGGTAGTTCCTGGGAGCCTCTCCCTGACCTCTGCAGACAGGAAATCCTGTTGAGTGACAGCCCCGAGTAGGTTCCTGTGGACTTTTGTGTACCAGAGATGTCCATTGCCACCAACACTGGCTGGGGCCTTACAGGTGGTTCCTCTCTTCCATGTTCCCAGGGCTGAGTTTGTTCCTTGGCTGCCACTGCCAGCCGGCTGAGTCGGCCAGGGCTTTCTGTCCCTCAGCTCCCTTCCCAGCCTACAGAACTGTCATCCAATCTCAAGTCCAGGTGTTTCCTCCCGAGAGATGCTTACCCTTCCTCAGCAGCTGCCTCTGGAAGGGCTTGGGGCCACTTGGGCTGCACGATCTGTGTGATGGCTCCAGGCCTCCAAATTACAGCCTTTCAGGCCTTTTAAAACTTCTCACTCTTGAATGTGAGGTCCTCTGACTCTTCTTTTACATACAGAAGGCTGCCCTTCTGCCTTCTCCAAGGGAAACCGGGATAGTAACCTTTGGCTGCGGTCAGCTCTTCTACACCCTTTTGCAGTGGGAAGCTGGCAGGGAGAGGGCAGTGAGAATGCCTGGGGCGGCCCTAGGCTGCGTGCACAGGCCGCTGCTGTATTTCTCTTCTGAAGTTTACTCCTGTTCTTAAACCTCCTGGTGATTTTGTTCCTTTGCCAAAGTGGAAGGCACACAGCAGATGGAGTGTGTTTGTCCAGCCCTCGTCACAGGCTGAGCAGGGCAGTACTGCCTGCAGGGTTACACTCAAGCTCGGATACCTCACCTTGACTTGCTGTGTTTGTTTCTTTCTGTTCTGCATTTTGGGGTCCTCAGTGTTCCACATTACAAAGCTTGTGTTGGGGGCGGGGACCAAGGTACAGACTAACCATGGGCCCCTCAGGCTTCCTGAAATCAACCTGCATGACAGGTGTTGAGAGTAACTGCATTCTCTCAGAACAACTTGTGAGCTCCCTGAGTCCTGGAGGCTGCAGGATTTTTGGAACACTAGTAGATTTCAAGATGCTGGGCCGGGTTCATCCAAATGGATGTATCTGCCTTCAAAATGCTGTTGTAAATAAATACATTGATTGTTGGAGAATTTCTCAAGCTTTGCTGTGATGTCCTGGATGGGGCTGATGAACTGTGGGTTCGACCCTATGTGGATTATCCAGTGCCCCACCTCAGGATGAATTCAGAAATGGGGAGGGGGATGGTGTCCCTAGAGGCCTGGTTCCAGAGGGAGAGGGGAGGCATGGGTGAATGAAGATTCTCAGGCCACACGTAGTAGTGGAATAGTGGAATCAGAATCAAGTTTAAGATTTAAAGTATTGATAGAAAGGTTATTGTTTGAGAGGCTTCCTTTTGGCTTCTGAGCCCCTTGAACCTGCTGTCTTGGGTCTCAGCACAGCCTGCTTCCCAGCTTCCCCATCCCTGCAGGGTCCACAGGCTCCTTTTGGCTTCTCTGCCTTGGCATCCAGTCACCCCCGATTCATTTTAGAGAGGAGCCGTGCTTAGGAACTGAGTGCATGCTGTACAAGCATGAACAAACGAGTTTGTATTCCCAGAAGTCAGGCTTGACCTGGGCCATGGCGGGGCAAGCCTTTGATCCCACTCGGCAGGCAGAGGAAGGTCAATCTCTGAGTTAGAGGCCAGCCAGATCCATAGAGTTCCAGGACAGTCAGGGCTACACAGAGAAACCGTGCCTTGAAACCTCAAAAGTACGTACGTAAAAAGCCAGGCAAAGAGTATTCCTGGTATGAGATAGGTAGATCCCTGGAGCACACATGCCCGTGGGCTAGTTAAATCCTGAATTGGTGAGTCCAGATTCGGTTGAGACCATGGCTCAAAAGGTATAGTGGTGGCTCAGAAGTTAACAGCACTGGCTACTTTTCCAAAGGTCTTGAGCTCAATTCCCAGAGCCCACGTGGTGGCTCCCAATCATCTATAACTGTAGCTCATGGGATCTGACACCTTCTCCTGATATACATGCAAGGAAAACACCCATATACATAAAATGCGTAAATAAAAATGGAAAGTTGGAATGTGATCGAGGAAGGCAGCTGATCACAACACAAAGTTAACCTCTGAACTCACGCACACAGCAAACTGATGCAGGTCACACTGAAACTTCAAGCAGCATGAGTGGCTGACAAAATGCGTGACCATGAGTCTGTGACAACATCAGGACTGCATATTATTAACACTGGAAGAGCCTAGCTTTTGTCCTTATCCGTTCCTTGAAATGCTTTTCTTTGACACGGGGTATCAGTATGTAGCCCTCGCTGTCCCAAAACTCACCAGGGAGATCATGATGGCCTTGAACTCACAAGATGTGACTCCTTGGTGTCCAGGACTCGGGGAGCTCACAAGTTGTTTCTGAGAGAATTCAGCTACTCTCAACACCTGTCACGCATGTTGATTTCAAGAAGCCTGGGGCCCCATGGTTAGAATGTGCCTTGGTCCCTGCCCCATCATCAACTTTGTAATGCGGAACACCGAGTGACCCTGAAGTGAATTTTGTTTTGTTTGAGACAGGGTCTCTCTAGTCACAGCTGGCCTAGAACTGGAAGAGATTTCTCCTGCCTCAGCCTCCTAATTGCTGAGATTACAGGTGTTGTACCACCATGCCTATCTTGCGTGGATGTTGTTACAGTGTGGACATATTCTCCAATATCATTTAGTGATGTCTTTCTTTCTTTCAAGGCTTAGAATGATGCTCCTCATGGAGAAATAAAATTCAATTTGTTGAACTTATGATCCTCATATTTCTACTGCCCAAGTGGTGGGATTACAAGCACGCAGCACCAGGTAAGATCTGTACTGTACTGGTGATGGATCCCAGGGCAAGCAATCCATTAATTGATTTACATACCAGTGTCCACTTTTTTTTTTTTTTTTTTTTGGTTTTCCAATGCAAGTCCTCACTATGTAGCTGGCCTGGAACTCACTATTTACACCAACCAGCCTGGCCAAAACTTACAATGATCCATCTACCTCTGCCTCTTGAGTGTCAAGATTAAAAGTGCACTACCAAGTTCCACCCCACCCCCACTTAAAAATTTAAAACATTTTATGTGTATGGTTATTTTGCCAGTGCAGTGTCTGCAGCAGCCAGAAAAGAGCCAGAGATCCCCCTGAACTGGAGTTAGAGACAGCTGTGAGCTGTCATACAGATGCTGGGATTCTCTAGAAGAGCAGCCAGTGCTCCCAGCTTTTCCCAAGCCCCACGTTTTATATTCCTGCTTACTCATGTGGAAATAACCTTTCTACAGCAGGAGCTTACACTCACATCTCCTAGTGTAACCTGTATAACCCTGCCCTTTTCTGCTGGTGTTCACTGTCAGTGTTACTGTGCGCTCACCCCCTCCTACTCCATGTATTCGCCCTATTTTCTATAATCCGTATGCATTTCTTATACTGGACTATAATAATTAGAATTATAACTTTTTTTTCCTTTTTCTTTTTTTTTTTTTTTTTTGATTTTCGAGACAGGGTTTCTCTGTAGCTTTTTGGTTCCTGTCCTGGAACTAGCTCTTGTACACCAGGCTGGCCTCGAACTCACAGAGATCTGCCTGCCTCTGCCTCCCGAGTGCTTGGGATTAAAGGCGTGCGCCACCACCGCCCGGCTAGAATTATAACTTTTTATTTTTAAAAATATTCATATATTCAGATAGTTGCAGAAGCAGCAAGAACTGATCAGAGTCTTTCCCTGTAGCCTGGACTGATCTCAAGTTTTCGATCTTCTTGACTCAGCCCTCTGAGAGCCAGGGTTATAGGTCTGTAACACTATACTTGTATACTTTGTAATGTATATTATGTATACATTACAGTATATGTATAATGTATAATATGTAACACTATACTTGGGTCTAGGATTATTTTAGGAGCTCTGACTTTACTTTCCAGCTGACAAAATGTGGTGTAATACACCGGAAATACACCAGGGGGACCTTTCCCACAGCTTTAGCCAGATAATGGGCACAGAACCCTGTGCTAAGCATTTCCCCCTCTGCATTGATCCTACATAGCCACAGATGTTCCCCAAGGCATTTAGACCAGACTTGAGAAGGATACTGCTTGGTGGGACATGTTGTGACAGACACAGAGATACAACCAACTCTCGTTCTGTGCTAACATCCACACACTTGGGTGTGGGCAGGCCCCTATCATTGCATTCCTTGGTAGCCTGGCACATGGAGGATTCTAAAAGCCAACCAGAGGCTGGGGACAGTTGGTAGCATGTTTGCTTAACATGCACCAAGTCCCAGGTGTGATCCTCATCACTATATAAAAACCAAGTGAGGTGGTCTGTACCTGTAATTGGAGCACTTGCGAGGTGAAGGCAGGAGATTCAGAAGTTCAAGATCATCCCATGGCTGCACAGTGAGTCGGAGGACCACCATACATGAGAGCTTATTTCAAAAAGTGAAAACTTTAAAGCCAGGTGGATGGCCCTGTGGTTATCGTCTACCCAGCTCTTTTTCAGGGAAGGTAGATCTGAAAGGGACAGAGACATATGGCCATGGGACTTCATATACTCAGGCAGTGATATCCTTCACCCTTTGCGGGTCCCTCTCAGCAGGTAGGGACAGGCTCTCGACAAAGAAGTCCTTGCCCGCGTCCATGAGGAGTGTCTCAGGAGTATGGACCAGAAAGGAGTCCTTGGCCACTCAGCAGGACTGCTCCATGCTGTCCCTCACAAGGTTATTCACGAGACTCATCCTTGAATGTCCTCATTGGAAGGCCTGATCCCCTGTTTTGCTAGCAGTCATACAAGACCACCTCTGTCTCTGTGAATCTGAAAAGACCTGCTGTTAGCTGAGTGAGAGCCTTGGAGAGTCCAGGAACCCATCCCATCTGGATCCTGCTCTCCAAGGCTCCTGGCTCCCTTCCTATATGTGTGACTCTCATATGGTGTCAGAGTACATGTCTCTTGTGTGATATATATGTGCATCTGAGTGCTGTATGTATGTGTATGGCTGTGTGCATATGGGTACATGTTGTAGGGGTGTTATGTACATGGGTTAGTGCTGCGAGGAGGTAGCCACTGGAGCCTAAACCATGGGTTTTTAAACTAGCCAATCCCCATATGAGACATTTTGCAGACATCTGGGTTCCTTCTAGACCTCCCCTCCAAGAACTCAGCTGTTCCTGTGTCCCTGTTCACATGGGACCATTCTCAAAATCTGCTCTCCAGATGCTCGGAAGTCCCTCCCAGAGCTGGGGTACTGATAACATACATACTCTGCGCTTAAAGGGATCATGGCATTTATTGTGTGCATGTGTCCTGAACTGTCCCCGGGTCAGCACACTGCTTGTTTGGGAGAGGGTGTGTTTTTGCATGGACAACATGTGCTCTTGGGTTGTCTAGTCTTCCCTGAGCTCTGAGAGCACTGAAAGAGGTGCTGGTCCTTAGGATGTCACAGAAGATTCAGACTGAAGAGCAAGGGAACCAGGAAGGTCAGCAGAGCCCCAATCTGGAGGTGGATGCTGGGGGCTTGTGAGTAGCCATAGTCCGTCCTGCAGGATCCACCCAGCTCATCCAGTTGGATAGGCTCTTCCTCCGGAACTTGCATGTTATTGCTTGCCTGGAGACAGACCCAAGTTAGGCAGCCTGCCTAGGTGGGCAAAGGGCAGGAACCCAAATGGCCCCTTTCTCTCACCAGTTCCACTTCAGAGAAGACCCGCAGCAAGTTTTCAGATAGTACACCTCTGACTTCCGTCTCTGTCCAGTTCCTCCTCAGAAGCTCCGCTATCAGATCCGGGTACTTGGAAACATCTTCCAGTCCCACAGGAAGCCTACACCAAGACCAAGAGTCCCAGGCATTGCAGACAGGACACTCTTCAGGCATACGAAGGCCAGAAGAGCAGGCTTGCAGCAAAATGCCCTGCACTGTACTAAGGACACTCTCCCTCCCCTGTCCCATCAGCACACGTCAGTAGGATCATAACTCCATCAGAAAACAAGATGTCGCTCTTACTCTGTAACGCCATCATAGTCCCCTCCAAGGCCCACAGCCTCAGCGCCTGCCACCTTCTTGATGTAGTCCAGGTGGTCTGTAGGGAGTAGCAGGTGTGGGTCTTAAGCGAGGCTCTCCCCC